CCTGGGCTAGGTAAATTAGGGCGTGTAAAATCGGCAACTCTAAAATTTCGGCCAGAATCCGTCGGGCCGTTTTTGCGAAGGTAACCAGTCCGCGACATTCGTATTTCGAGTCGCGATAGTCGTCAATTTCGCAAAAAAATAACGAATTTGATGGCCGTTTAAAAAATCGACACGAAAACGACGCCGAGTCGACTCCAAAACGGCCACGAACCCGGCCCGACGTTGCGACACTGACTGGCCGTGTCGCACACCCTCCATGCGACGATGACGACGTTGGAATCATGTGTGCGAATTTGTCGCCCACTTTGAACAATGCAAATTTTACAACTTTCCGGAACCGGCCAGCAAATCGGCCAGCAAACATGTAAAATTCGCGCTTTTGTAAATGGTGGCTGTATCGGAGTCGACTCGGATTCGGCCACCAAGTCGAATTTTGCGAAAAAAATATGACGACCATATGGTCGTCTAAAAACCGGCCACACCCCATTTTCAGACTTGTGCGGGGATTTTTCACGCCCTTACGTCAGTCTCCTGCACTCGATGCTTGTGTTATGTTATTCTCTCGTAATAGTAAAACATGTCACTCTAGCTTCTAGCACTCGGTGGCGCACCACTAGTAGGGAACCTGTGGGGTGAGGGAGCAATCTCTTCCATAACAGAACACAAGCCCGTACTTCAGAGAATATGGACAAGTATGAGCTGCGTTGGGGTAGGATCTTTAGTCGCCGGGAGAAAGAACGGCCGCAACGCGAGCACTCACGTGAGCGTGGGCGATCTTTGGAGCGATCGCCAAAGAAGCCGGCTTTTTGCGCGGATCGAATCCCTTTCGAGCCAGACCAACGGGAAGGAGGCTCGACTCACGAAGGAGCAAGCGGTGAGGGGTCCACCATGACTGGAGGCTATGCGCTGTGGCAGAGAGACGCCCTTCACCGAGCTGGCGGCAACCACGGGCACCACCATGGCGACAGAGTGTTCTGCGCGCCGGAAGGGAGAGAACAGCGCCACGACGACGGAGGCCGCTGGCGTGGTCGTGGGGGACTTCTCTCCAGCCGAGGAGGAGATCCTGGCGCCAACGGGGAATGAGGCACGAGAGGAGGCCCGCGAAGGAAACGTGGAGGACGAACACGAAGGCGGAGAGCACGACGACGCTGTTAAGGCCGACGAAGCTGAACCCGCGCTGGCAGACTAGACCACAGGCGCGTGCGAGGCAGAGGCAGAGGGATCAAGGGCCACGGGGAAGGAACAACGCGAGGAGCACCTCGGCCGTCAGGGAGGGCACCGTTCAGGTGACTCGGCTCAGCAGGAGCGAGAGGATTGCGAGGAAGACGCCTGCGTGTCCAAGCCGTACGAACAACGCGGAAGAAGGGGGGAAGAGCGGTTGCGCACGCCTGAAGGGCATCGGCGACCAGTGGGACGGTGAGATGAAGACTCGCACTTGCCCGTGGGACGTCAGCCGCGGGCAGGATGGCGCAGCGACCGGGCACGGTCGCCGGATCGGCGTCAACCGTGTGGAGGAAGGCGAGAGGGCGAGCCACGCTCGCCCAATCGCCATCCGTAGCTAGGAGGGAGGCGAGGCACGGGGTCTCGGGCAGCATTGGCAGCAGGAAGGACGACGCAGTGGTGGATCGCGCTCGCCTCGTCAGCAGAAGCAGCAGGAGAGAAGGCCTAGTCGCGAGTCACGCTCGCCCGACTTGCGCCGCCAGTAGGAAGGGAGACGTGACGAGGAGAGGCGCTCGCCAGTTGGCCGCCGGAAGCGTTGAAAAGAGACGAACGAATGTCCACCCTCGCCAGAGAGGCATTGACCACGCGAGACACGACGGGAGGAATGGGAGAGGGCGTACCGCTCGCCAGCTCGGCAATGGGGGCATACAGAAGGACGAAGGAGCCCTAGGAATCTGCACAGTGAGACGAGATGGAACCGGCTGGGGAGTAGAACCGAGAGCGGGAGTTTGGCGTATGGCGCAGAACGAGCCCAAGAAGCCAGGGAAGGCATGGAGAGAGCCAAGGAAAGGGGAACGTAGGGGAGACAGTCAAGAGGAGCGATCGAATCTTGGGGGAAGGGGCGAGGGAGCGCGGCCACGGCACCGCGAGTGGAAGTGCCGGCCAGGTTCTTGGGAGATCAACGGTTAGGGCCCTCGCTCAAGAACTATCTGATGCAAGTGGGAAACGTGAAGTATCAGTGTGACCGGGACGGCATGGACCCGGTATACTTCTTCTTGAGCTTATCAAACACGCTGGAAGGGGAGACAACGACGTTGTACCGGATGAGGATGGATGAGCTGGTATGGAGGGTAGGAAAATATGGGGAGGAACCCACGGAGGAATTTCTTGAGCGACTACAGCGGCAGTTTCCAGGGCACACGGCGGAGCGAATAAGGGAGTTTCAAGACTTCAAAAGAGGGCAGCAGAGTCACTGGTGATGTACTACAACCGACCGATCAACGTGCCAGAGGACGTGAAGTGCTCGGACAGCAGTCTCTTCATCAACAAGCTTTTGGGGGGCCTAGATGAGGCGTTGGGGGGCGGATTGAGGATGAGGGTATATGAGTTGGGAGCAGACGTGACACTGGATAAAGTGTTTGAGTTAGCAAAGGTGGAGCTCGCACAGAGGAAGTACAAAGCATATTTACCGAAGCCAATAGAGAGAAGCCGCAAGCCGACCTGGGCGGCAGCGATGATACCTCAAGAAAGCTGGAGGTCAGACATTCGGGGGGAAGCAAGAGCTGACACACGGACGTGCCACAGGTGCGGACAGGCGGGGCACATTTGTAAGGACTACAAGAACTGTGGTGGCTGCAGGAAGCCAGGCCATCGAAGGTGAGAATGTCCTGATGCAGCAAGATGCGAGATCTGTGGGAAGAGAGGACACGAGGCTAAGGAATGCTACTAGAGGGAGGGAGGGGCAAGGAGAAACCCAGAGGAGCTGCAGCGGCAGATTAGCAGACTGCAGTCTCAACTGCAAGCCTTGGGACCAAAATGGGAGGCTAAGGCAGGGATGTACGCCAGGGATGAGGAAGGAGAGGTGGTGGAACAGGATGTGCAGTGTGCCCTCATGGCGTGGAGGGGAAGGGAGGAGATGGGGATGAGAAGCGGAGGGAAGGATGGGAGGCAGGAGCATGGCATGAAGGAACGAAAGAAGGGACAATAACCAGAGGGGCCAGCGCAGGAGCAGCCGCCAGCACGCCATCCACAAGAAAGGTTGCGTGTCAGACCTCAGTGCTACTGATGGAAGGAGGAGCGATGGAAGTGGAAGGGGTGAAGGTGAAAACTGCTGTTATAGACACGGGAGCGCAGAGTGTGATGCTGGACAAAGGGATGGCTGAAAGGCTGGGGCTGATGGCCCCAGAAAGGTAGGTGGCGAAGGAAATGTTGGTGATGACGGCAGAAGGAGGGGAACCAAAATGGATGCCTTGCACCCGAACACCCATAGAACTGAATCTACTGCCGGGAGGAGAGCAGGAGACCAGAATTAGAAAGAAGTGTGGAATCTCATAGTCGAAGGACTTCGATGTATCAGTGGGCACTGAACTGATGTTTGCGGTGGGAATGGCCATCTGTCACCGCATATGCACTTTACGTAAATGCAGTAACGGTAGTATAAGGGTGTAGGAGGTAGTATAGTGTGTAAGCGTATGTGCACTTTATGCATACACAGCAACACTAGTATGGGGCGTAGAATGTAGTGTAGTGACTGTTGTAATAGCTAAAGAAGGGGGAAACTGAAAAGGGACGGTTGGGATTACGGGGGAAAGCACCGAGGGGCGAAATGGGAAACCAAATCGCAACCCCGAGCAGCACATTGGGAAATGTGCAGCATGGGGTTGGGCCAAGTAAGGCCACTCACACTCACCCACTCGATGCTTGATTTCTGTTATTCTCTCGGACAAGTGAAGGCTGTCACTCTAAACTCTAGCATTCAGTGGCACACCACTAAGAAGGAACCTGTGGGGTGAGGGATCAATCTCTCTCATAACAGAAGACAAGCGTAAGCAAGCAGCCATGGAAAAGTACGAGCTGCGCTGGGGTAGGATATTCAGTCGCCGTGAGGAGGAACGGCAGCGACGCAAACCGTCGCGCGAGCGGGGGCGATCCCTGGAGCGATCGCCGCAAAGGCAGACCGCGTTTCCATCGCAAGGGACCGACGGGAGGAAGGATCGACGAGTTTAGGAGCGAGCGGTGGAGGGTACGCCGTGGGCATGGACGGAGGTGCGTGGCTGAGAGCGAGACCCCGCAGGACTGGAGACGAGAGCGGAGCCGTGACGCGGGAATGTTCCGCTCGTCGGAAGGGCGGGGACAACGCTATGATGACAGGGGCCGTTAGCAAGGCTTTGAGGGCTTCCCCCCGGCCGAGGAGGAGACATTGGTGCCGATCACGGAGAAGGAGGCGGCCCACGAGGAGGATGCGGAAGCGGACGATGAGAACCGAGAGCTGCAGGTCGAGGGCGCCGAGCGAGAAAACGACGGAGACGACCCAGCAGCTGGAACTGGCGAGGCCGAACCCGCATAGGCGGACAATAACACTGGCGCGAGCCAGGCGGTGGCCGAGGGATAGATGTCCAGGCGGAAGGACTCGCGCGGGCGAGACATCAGCTGCGGGGAAGGGTACCGCGCGGAGGATTCACTTCAACAGGAACGAAGGGACCAGGATGAGAGCACCCGCACTTCCCGGCTGCAAGGACATCGTGGTAAAGGGAGGGCGGAACGGTCGCGCACGCCAGAAGAGGATCGGCGGCGCAGAGGGCGGCGAGTAGGCGACTCTCGCTCGCCCGATAGGCATCAGAAGCCTGGAGGCTGGAGCGGCGGCGGCTCACGTTCGCCGGATCGGCGTCAGACACGCGGAGGAAAATGGGAGGATGAGCCACGCTCACCTGATCGATACTGGCGTCAGGAAGGGAGACGCGAGAAGGAGCCCAGGTCACAGGAGCGGCATGGTCAGCAGCAAGGGGAGCGCAGCGGCGGAGCACGCTCGCCTGGCCGAGATAGGCAGCGAGAAAGGAGGACTAGCGGTGGGTCCCGGTCGCCAGACATGCGCCGCTAGCAGAGAGAGAAGCGCTCACCAGAGCACCACCGACAGCGTGGCAGGAGGGAAGACGCGTGGTCACCTTCGCCGGAAAGACAGCGACGGCACGAGACGAGCCAAGGAGGATGGAAGAAGGCGTACAACTCGCCAGCTTGACAATGGGAGCAGGCAGAGGAGTGGAGGGGCCCGAGGGAGAGGCGCAGCGAGACGAGATGGAATCAGCAGGAGAGCAGAATGGAGGGCAGAAGTTTGGCGTATGGCGCGGAACGGGCCCGAGAGGCCAGGGAAGGAATGGAAAGGGCCAAGGAGAGAGGAACGGATGGAAGGCGGCCATGAGGAGCGAGTGAATCATGGGGAGAAGGGCGAGGGAGTTCTGCCACCGCGCTGCGAGTAGAAGTACTCGCTAGGTGCTCAGGAGATCAACGCGCGGGGCCAACTCTCAAGAACTATCTGATGCAAGTGGGAAACGTGAGATATCGGTGCGACAGGCACGGCATGGACCCGGTGGACTTCTTCCTAAGCTTACCGAACACACTTCTTCCTAAGCTTACCCGAATGAACTGCTGTGGAGGGCAGGGGGCAGAACTCTAGGGGCCGCCATGGTGGGAGCTAGAGACGGCCGAGCGGGGGGGGGTGGGAGTGGGGGGTGGGGCGGGGGCTTTTAGCTGGAGGATGTGGGGCCTTCTAGCTCATGCCCCCGGGGCTTCTAGCTAAAGGCCGTGGGGCCTTCTGGCAGCTGCTTGTGTCTGCGTGGCCAGCGGGGGCCTCGAAGGGGCAACGAAACGGGGCCCGCGGGGCCCTCTAAGGGGCGACAAAACGGGGCCTGCGGGGCCTCTAAGTGGCGACGAAACGGGGCCCTTGGGGGGGCTCTAAGGGGGCGACGAAACGGGGCCCACGGGGGGCTCTAAGGGGCGACGAAACGGGGCCCGCGGGAGCCTCTAAGGGGCGACAAAATGGGGCCCGCGGGGGGCTCTAAGGGGCGACAAAACGGGGCCCGTGGGGGCCTCTAAGGGGCGACGAAACGGGGCCCGCGGGGGCCTCTAAGGAGCGACAAAACGGGGCCCGCGGGGCCTCTAAGGGGCGTCGAAACGGGGCATGCGGGGGCCTCTAAGGGACGATGAAATGGGGCCCGCTGGGGCCTCTAAGGGGCGACGAAATGGGGTGACGGGGTGACGGAATGACAAGGCTACGGGGTGACGAGGTGAAGGGGTGACGGGGCGCGACCTGGGAGACGGGGTGACGTGGTGCGACCTAGGAGACGGGCGACGGGGCAGCCTAGGCAACGGGGCGCGGTAGCGGGTGACGGGCGGCGAACTAGTGGCGAACAGGAGGAGAACGGACGTCAAACGGATGGCGCACGGGCGGCTTACGAGCGAAACCCTAAAATGAATGAGCCAACGGGGCGGCGAGGGCGCTACGGGCCGCTAATGGCCGAGGCGCGGGGTGGTGGGCCCGTTGGAACGAACTAAGCTCTATATAATGTCATAGTAAGAACGGAAGAATGAATGAGTAGCAACAAGCAGTACAAGGAAACATATAGCAAACTCTAAAGGGGGTTGTACTTTCTGCAGCATAACTCAGTGTAACACCTAGACTAAACAAACAAACTATAACACCCAGAAGTCCAAGTGAAGGGTCTGTAAGGGAGCCGTGGTGGGGGGGAACGAGGAGGAGTGAGGGGCAGCGCGCTGCCGCCACTCGACGCGAGGGGTGCATGGCGGTGCAGGCGAGCGGGGAAGCAGGGCGAGAGACTCTGGGAGACCTGTGACCTGACGGTGACGTACCATCCTACTGGGATGTGGGAAGGACGGGTGACCTATGTGGTGGTGCCAGAGGGCCAGGACGCCAGCACGTAGTGCCAGCACCAGGGCCAGTCAGGATCGAGTACCCACAGGGACCGACGTCGCGCCAACGGCTGGCTGAGCCACTGCAAGGGCCGGTACTCCTTGGACCCTCAGGTCCCCCGCCAGGAGTGCTGCAGGTGCTGTCGCTACGGCTGGCCCTTCTACTGCATAACTCTAGCGAACGCCATGGCAGGAGCTAGAAACGGTCGAGCAGCTAGGAGCAGTCGGGTACGATCGGGTAGTGGTCTAGTGCGGACGGGGTGTTGGGTGTGTACTCGGGGGAGGGGGGGGGGGGGGGGGAGGGGGGGAGGAGGGGGCGTAGGGCCTTCTAGCTGAGGGGGCGCGGGTCCTTCTAGGTGGGGGCCGTGAGGCCTTCTAGCTGGGGGCCCGCGGGGCCTTCTAGCTGGGGGGGCGCGGGACCTTCTAGCTGGGGGCTGCAGAGCCTTCTAGTTGGGGGCTGCAGGGCCTTCTAACTGGGGGGGGACGTGGGTTGCTTCACTGGGTGCGGGGAGCCTGAGGGTTGCGGGGTGCGGGTAGCATACAGGGTGCTAGGTGGTGGACTGGGTGCGGTCGGCAGACCAGGTGCGGGGTACGGGTGGCGGACTGGGTGCGGGGAGTGAGTGACGTACCGGGTGCGGGTGGAGGACTGGGCGCGGGTGACGTAGGGGGTTGGGGGGGGGGGGGGTAGACGAGGAGGCAACGGGGAGGTTACGGGAAGGCGAAGGGGATGCGACGGGAAGGTGACGGGGAGGCGACGGGTAGGCGACGGGGACGGGACGGGGATGCGACGGGGAGGTGATGGGGAGGTGACGGGAAGGCGACGGGGAGGCGACGGGGAGGCGACGGTGAGGGGATGGGGGAGGCGACGCGTAGGTTATGGGGAGGCGACAGGGAGAGGACGGGGATGCGACAGGGAGGTGACGGGGAGGTGACGGGAAGGCTGCAGGGCCTTCTATCTGGGGGGGGACGTGGGTTGCCTCACTGGGTGCGGGGAGCCTGAGGGTTGCGGGGTGCGGGTAGCATACAGGGTGCTGGGTGGTGGACTGGGTGCGGGGTGCGGTCGGCAGACCATGTGCGGGGTACGGGTGGCGGACTGGGTGCGGGGAGTGAGTGACGTACCGGGTGCGGGTGGAGGACTGGGCGCGGGTGACGTAGGGGGGGGGGGGGGGGGTAGACGAGGAGGCAACGGGGAGGTTACGGGAAGGCGAAGAGGAGACGACGGGAAGGTGACGGGGAGGCGACGGGTAGGCGACGGGGACGGGACGGGGATGCGACGGGGAGGTGATGGGGAGGTGACGGGAAGGCGACGGGGAGGCGACGGGGAGGCGACGGGGAGGCGACGGTGAGGGGATGGGGAGGCGATGCGTAGGTTATGGGGAGGCGACGGGGAGAGGATGGGGATGCAACAGGGAGGTGACGGGGAGGTGACGGGAAGGCGACAGAGAGGTGACATGGAGGCGCTGCTACCTGACGGGCGACGACGTCACCGTTCACACAGACCGCAAATTGCTACATTACCTCCGCGCGCAACCCAACCTCAACCCATGACAAATCTGGTGGCTCAATTACATGGAGTCCCAATTTAACTAATGCATCACCTACAAAAAGGGGGCTAATAACATTGCCGACACCCTGACCCGCCCGACAGTTCAATCCGCTGCAGTATTAATCACCCATTTTAACCCGCTCCTTTCGGAGCCATTCACCCACGGCTACACGACGGACCCGTTCTTCACGACTGGTAGTCACCAGCAGGCGACGACGCGGAGAGGAGAATATTACCTAATGGCTGGAACGGTCTGGATTTCGGTACCCGCTTACCGCCTACTACGCGAACTGCTAATCCAGGAGGTCCACGATTGCAATCTCTCTGGACATTCCGGAGTAAACAAGACGCAGAAAATACTACACCGTCAATATTATTGGCCTGACTCTTCATCTGACGTGCAGCGTTATGTGTCTTCATGTAGAATGTGCCAAGTCATCAAGTCAACATGTCAGCGCCCAGCCGGCCTGCTGCAGCCCCTTGAGCCACCCGAACGACCGTGGCAACAGGTGACAATGGATTTTGTCACGGGGCTACCAGCTGGCGCGTCCTTCAACGACGCTATACTCGTCGTCGTCGATCGCCTCACGAAAATGGCACACATCGCCCCCTGTTGCATGACAATCACTTCGGAAGAAACTGCGCACCTGTTCTTCTCAACGGTTGTGCGACTTCACGAAACCCCGTCTGCAATCGTCAGCGACCGTCGAAGTTTTGGAGGAAACATGTGCGCAGTACGGCACGCGTCTATAGTCCTCGTCGACCTACCACCCACAAACCGACGGGAAAACTGAGCGGACCAATCAGACCATGGGGGCAGCTCATCTGCACGAACTACCTCGACCCCGCTCGCTTGGAAAACTCACTCACGATGCTGGAGTTCGCGTACAACAACGCACCGTCCAGTACGACTAACTGTTAACGTATGAACTTAACGCAGGAACTGGGGTTTACTAAGGGCCTAGGCTTGGAGCCTAGGCCAATCATGTTGAGAGAGTTCTCACCAAGAAAATTTGGGAATGAGTGACTTCACTATAGCACACAAGGTACATATAGAAAAAAACAAAAGAAAGGTTCTCCACCTATAGGAAACTGCATAACTACACTACAACTAGAACTACATGGAGTTATATAGAATGATATATATTCTAACACACCCCATAACTGCATGCAGCAGGAGCTAGTGTAACAACACCCCCTGAAGGGGTACACCTGGAAACCCCCCTCACCGGGCGTGGGAACACCAGCAAGGGGGCCCGATGAGCAGCAGGCACCGAGCAGCAGCTGGACCACCGCGGTGGAAACAGGTGCCCGGCTGTGGTTGAACGCCCCGCAGCAGGTGCTGGTGTGCGTGCTGAAGGGGAGAGGAGCCATAAGCGTAAGAGTAAGCGTAAGCTAGGCGGCGTAAGAGACACGACGGACCGGGCAGCAGCTACACGAGGCATACCACGGGTGGGGCACGAGTAGGACACGGGCAGCACGACGTAGGACACGGGCAGCAACACGGGCGTAAGCGTTTGTGTAAGCCTAAGCTAGGCGGCGTAAGAGACACGGCAGACAGGGCAGCAGCTACACGAGGAATACCACGGCAATGCACAGGATGAGGCATGAATGAATACGGGAAGCAACGGGAAACACGAACGGACTCGGGCAGCACGGGAAGAACAAATGGGTACGGGCAGCACAAGAGGCACGAACGGATATAAGTAGCAATGGGAGGCACGAACGAATACTGGCAGCAAGGCACGGGATGAGGCACGAATGGACACGGGCAGCAACACGGGCACGGGCCAAGCACGGGGAACACATGCGGAATGGGAGGCACGGGCGGACAGCAACGTCGGGTGGCACGGGACGGCAGTGAACGTACGGGAGGTACAGGAGACATGGCCGACAGCAAGACATGGGAGCCACGGGAACGGGCAGGACCGAATGAATGGGAGGCACGGGTGCGGGCAGCAAGGTACCGGTGGCAAGGGCGGGCAGCAAGGTACCGGTGGCAAGGGCGGACAGCAAGGTACGGGTGGCACGGGCGGACAGCAAGGTACGGGTGGCACGGGCGGACAGCAAAGTATGGGTGGCATGGGCGGACAGCAAGGTACGGGTGGCACGAGACGGCAGTGAACGCATGGGAGGCACAGGAGGCACGGGGTGAGAGGAGGAAGTGGCGGCTGATGCTGCAGCTGGACTCACGCCACCCCCTAAACCGCCCCCTACAGCAGCAGCAGCGGAGGAGGAGGAGGTGAGGAGGCGGGTGATGCTGCAGCTGGCACTCCAGCCATCCCCGCACATTCCATGTTGGAGTAGGCTAGTTTCCGCTCTGCATGTATTTCTGGCATTAAATTTCTGGCCAGTTTTCGACTTTGTTTCATTTCAGGTTCAGTGAAGGTTCATTTTGGGGCTTGTTCCTTTACTGAACAAACCTTAAGTTCAATTAGGGTTTTCAATTCTTCTCTTCAAATGTAGCTCGACACTCTTTTTAATACAGTCTCTTCTACCACTCTCACTACCCATGGCTGCAACTCTAATCTTAACACTCCACCCCCACCGTGAGGCAGTGTTGGGCGGCAGCAGGTGCTGCTGGCGCTGGCGGTTGCTGCTGACATCCGCCCACCACCCCTTTCCCCCAATCCTTCCCCCGCATGAGCCTCCAACCCCGCCACTCCCCCTCCCATGAGCCGCCAACCCCGCCACCTCGACCCCATAGGTTGCCACCCCCCCCCCCCCCCCCCCCCCCCCCCCCACCCGACCCGTCCCGCACGGACCAACACCCCACCTCCTCCGCCTCTCGCTGGAAATGGAGCTGGAGTCGGGGGTGGGGTGGCATCTGAAAGTGGGAGGCGGTTTCTGACGGTGGGGGGGCGGTTTTTAACGGTAGGGGGCGGGTTCTGACGGTGGGGGGGCGGGATCTGACGGTGGGTGTAACACAGGCTTATAAAGAAACAATGAAGACCCGGGCTTATAACCAATGCCCACAAAAGGGTCTATAATAGGCTTATAAGTCTTGAAGACTTGGTAATTGAAGCTTTGAGAGTGATGGAGTAGCTTCACCAAGAGAGTAGTTGGAGCATAGAGCACTTGTGAGGGAAAAGTCTTGTACTTAGAGAGAAAATCCCATTTCCATTTTGGTTCATTGGAAGTTGGGAGTTGAGAATGGGCCTGGTTAGCTCGCACCCCTCCTAGACCTCCTTGGGGAGCTCCACTTCCTCCATGGCAACAAGGGCAAGGAGCTCCTAGGGGTGAGCTTGCTTAGGTGACACAATGGTTGGATTTGCAACCAATGAGAGCAAAACAATTGTAATAAGGACTGTTTTGTTACATGTTGTAACATGTAACAGAAATGTTCAATTGCTATTGGTTGGAATTCCAACCAATGTGGAGGTTGGGTTGGTTCCCAACCATGCTTGTCTTTTAGTGGGTGGTTGTCCACAATTGTGGACCAATCACCCTTCATCTCCTCCAACCTTCTCTTCCCGTAAGTCGCTACCTTACGTAGGTAGCGCTTTAGAGAGTCATAGCTAGGATTGTTCGTAGGGTAGGAAGGCGATGCGTTACACTCCTCCCCCTCCTGTTGGCAACGTCCCCGTTGCCTTGGAGTGCTTCTTGGGGCGAGTGCTGCGAGCACAACGCACCACATTACGGCCAGGGTCAACACCATCCAGTGGCTGTGGGGCTGCTCGGAGAGCCAAGTCTTCCATGTAAGCTTGAACTGCTGTTTTAGTCAAGTGTTCCTCTGGCTCCCAAGAATTGTGTTCAGGCCCGTAGCCTTTCCACTTAATGAGGAACTCACGTTTTGTTTTACGGCCGCGTTGTCGACCACGGTGCATCAGCACACGCTCGACTTCATAATATAGTTCCTCACCCAGGACGATGGTTGGTGGTGGTAAGTATGTGCCGTCGGCAACATACTTGTTTAACAGAGACCCATGGAAGACATTGTGAATCTGCAAGGTGTCTGGTAGCTTAAGCTTATAAGCCACCGCCCCAACCCGCTTGATGACCTCGAATGGCCCAATCCAACGAGAAAACAGCTTTCGCGCCCCAGGTAATTTGAGTCAAATGTTTTACGTACTCAACAAAACTTTGTCTCCCTCTTGAAAAGAGACGTCCCGGCGTTTCATGTCGGCATAAGACTTTTGGCGTTGTTGGGCAAGTTGCAACCAACGACGAGCAGACTTAAGCGCTTCTTTCTGCTTGCCAATAAAGTCCTTAGCGGCTGGAATTTTCAAGCCACTGACCCCATGCGTAGCAGGTGTTGTGGGGTGCCGACCAAAATTTAAGATGAAGGGTTTTTCGTGGGTGCTTTCATGCACTGAGTTGTTGACAACAAATTCCACGACTGGCAACAGCTCATCCCAATCATACTGTGTTAGGCCAATAAACGAAAGAAGCATTTGTTCAAGAGTGCGATTTGTGCGCTCGGTCTGCCCATCCGTTAGAGGGTGGAATGCAGACGAATGACCTCGTCTGCTAGAAACGGCTTGTAAAACGAGGGTCTCGGTCAGACACTAGCACACGGGGCAAACCATGTAAACGGAAAACATGCGCAACAAACAACTTAGCCGTATCTGCTGCTGATACGTCTGTGGTTGTAGGCACGAAGTGCACCATCTTGGTCAAACGATCCACGAAGACGAGGATCGCTGTATGACCATCTCGTGTTTTAGGGAGATCAGTGATGAAATCCATTGATACACTCTCCCAAGGTTCGTCAGGGATTTCGAGCGGTTGAAGCAAACCACCGGGTTTTTGTATGCTCGGTTTATTACGTGCACACGTGTCGCAACGTGTAACAAACTGCTGGACTTCATTGACCAACCCTGGCCACCAGTATACGTCAGACAATGCCCATCGGGTTTTCTTAACTCCGAGGTGTCCACTGTATTTACTGGCATGCACTTCTTGTA